CGCGATAAGGATGCACGGGCCTTGGGAGGCCACGTCGAAGCTTTTCGAGTGGGGCGCGGCCAACGAAAGTGGCCAAGGATGGGCCGAGGAGGCAAGGATGCAAGGGTACCCTTGCGAAGGTTGCCCATCATCACTATAAGGAATGACTGTAGAAGGCGTCCAAGTCCGACAGAATGGTCCCATATGGCCTCCACAACGTTCTAGGATGGCCTCCAAGATGGCCACGTTGGCCCCAAGACGGACCAAAATGCCCTCAAGACGCCCAAAGAGGCCTCCATGAGGGCCCCCAGGAGGTCCCGAATACGGGAAAACCATCTACGCTCCTCGGGTTGACTGGTTCCAGCGAGGCTCCGGAAACCCTCGGACAGCCCAGGAGGCCTCCAAGACGGCCCGAAGACGGCCCAAGAGGCCCCCAAGACGGCGCAATAGTTAGAACCCGAAGACGAGCAACCACAAAACACACACGAGGGCCACAATAGAGAGAGCCACCCAGGGTGGCCCCGAGAGACCCCCCCGAGAGGCGGCCTCCGAAGGCGTCGGAGACTGGCAGCACAGGGCGCCCGAAGGCGGGACGGCCCCCCGAGGGCCCCCCGCGAGAGGCCCCACCGGAGGAGGCCGGGAAGGCCGCCCGGAGAAGCGGCTGCGGAACCGCGCGGCGGCGCACTTTGGGAGGAAGCACAAGGGGTCCCTCAGGGAATGAATGAATGCATGAAAAGACCCGCAGGGAAGTGCACCGCACTAGATATTCAGCGAAGCTTCATGAATCAAAACTGGAACTTCAAGCGACTCACGATAGGGAACTGGCTGCCTTAGCCTGTTCCTTTTACGCGAATCCTTTCAACTATAGCTGACATGCGCTGCTCATAAGAGGGGGCCAGCCTCCCTGGCGAGGGAGGAGCGGGGAGGCAAAGACAAGGGGGACGTCCGCATGCCCTCCGAGCCTGCCCTCCGAGCCGGACCCCCTCCTGCCAGGATCTCTTCCTCGTCGCCCCTCCCCCCCATGGGCAGCCTGCGGCTGCCGCGCCGAAGCAGGAGCGCTGCGTGTGCATCGCTCGGGAGGCGCGCCAGCACTGGTTCTCCTCCAGGGCACGGGACAGGGCAGGAAAAGACGGGAGGAGGCGGAGGGAAGAGGAGGCGGTTGTGGCGCGACTGGATTTGATTGCTCACAATCGCTCAACAGGCATCAGTGGGAACAACTCCAGATTCTTGTCAAAACTGAGGGCGAGGACAAATTAGAAGGAGGGTGGGGATGAAGACGCGGCAGGCTCCTGCCGTGAGGACGTCGGATCCGGTTCATGACACCGCGCGAACCGTTCAATCTTGAACGATCTCCAGCCTCAGAAATCCCATGGGCCACCACTTGGCGGGTGGGGGGTCGCCACCTCCTCGAGGAAGGGCCGCTCCCCCAAGGAGGCGGGCCCCCCCAAAGAGCACTCCGGGGCCTCCCAGACCGACCCAACAACTGGCCATCGCTCGGACGTCCATTACCTGTGCTTGTTTCGGCTTCGTGCGTGGTTGTTTCGCGGGATGATCAAGGATGCTCCTTAATAAACCCCGCCAAGAAAGAGTGCACACGTCCGAGCGATACCAAGACAACGTCCAGAAGCCTCCTCGAGCCTCGATTCTGAAGCCTCGATCTCCAGAAGGACTCGTGACCCTCCCTCAGCCCAGCGGCGACCCCCCCTGCAGAGGCCTCTCGGGTAGGGTCGGAGTGGATGGGGTCGGGGGATCGCGCCGCATCGTTGGTGCACCACCGATGCATCGGCGATGCATCGGTGAGGCATCGGAGACAGATCAGCGGTAGGCCCCCTCGTCCTCCTCCTTCTCCTCCTTCTCCTCCTCCCTCTCCTCCTCCTCCTCCCCCTCCTCCTCCTCCTCTTCTTCTTATTTTTCTTCTTATTACTATTATTATTCTTCTTCGTCTTCTTCTTCTTCTTCTTGTTCTTCTTCTTCTTCTTCTTCCTCCTCCTCCTCCTCCTCCTCCTCCTCCTCCTCCTCCTCCTCCCACCTCCTCCGCCTCCTCCTCCTCCTCCTCGTCATCATCCTCCTCCTGCTCCTCCTCCCTCCTCCTCCTCCTCCTCCTCCGCCTCCCTCCTCCTCCTCCTACCCCACGTTCCTGGGCGGGGTGGGCCATCGGGCCCCCGTCGGCGGTGGATGCATTCTGAGCATAGGCCCCCCCAGCGTTGCCCCCTGCGGGGAGGGTGGGGGAGGCTGAGATGGCCGTCTCAGAAGAATCGGAAGTCCTGCGGCCTTCTGGCAAATTCTCCAAGCCTTCCCCGAAAACACGGAAAACTTCTGAAGGCGCTCGCCGCCGACACGCGTCGCCTCTCACTTCCCTCCCACCTTCGAGGGAAGCTGGGTCCGAGTGACCGAATGGCCGCCTTCGCGCACAAACCGTCTCCCACTTCTGTGCACCATCCTCCACACACACGGGCACGCTCCAAGCTGCTTCTGGGTAAACCAAGGAGTAGCGATACCGCTACTCCCCGGCCCTCCCAGGGTGCGTTATGACCAGACTCGCGAGGTGAATCCAGCTGAGGCGACGAAGTCCTCCGTGGAGATCAAAAAAGGCGAAAACGAAGGAAAGGTAGCGGTATGGGTACCTTTTCCATCCTCTAAACTACGGAACAAAACGGATGATGTGAACTGCACCACCACCACCACCACCGGGTGCGAGCGTGAACCTATGGGGGCGATCCACTCTGCTGAACTTGAAGTCGTCATCTCCACTGCTCGCGCAAACATCCCACCCACCCACCCGCAACTTGGTTTGCAGAACCTCTTAAGACCGACTACGACGACACCGACGACAACGACGACGATGACACCGACGACGTCTCCGACGACTTCGACGACGACACCGACGCCGACGCCGACGACGACGAAGACGACGACGACGCCAACGAAGACGACGACGAGGGAGGAGGAAGGACGACGACGGCGACAACGACGACAACAACGACAACGACGAGGGAGGAAAGAGGACGGCGACGACCCGAACGACGCAGAAGGAGGAAGGACGGCGACGCCGACGACGACAACGACGAGGGAGGAGGGATGACGACGACGACAACGACGACGACGACGGCGACGAAATAGGAGGGACGACGACGAGACGCCGACGACGGACAACGACGACGACGAGGGAGGAGGAGGAAGGACGACACGGCGACAATGACGACGGAAACGACCACGACGCCAAAGAGGACGACGACGACGAACACGAGGAAAGACAGAGGACGACGTAGGCGACGACGCGACGACGCGGGAGGAGGGAGGACGGCGACGACGACGACGACGACGCAAGAGCGCGCGCGCACGCTATTGTTGAAAATGCGTGTTGCGAAACCTTGGGTTTTTTGTATGTTTTTTGGGCACACGAGTTTGACATCCTTCCGAAACCGTTGGGTTTTGAAGGTTTTCGGCATACGCGCGCGACGACGCGCGCGTCTGCACTTCGTCCTATTTTTTGGCAGAGGATTCTCGCGACGGCACACGCGCAAGGGCGTTCGACAGATTTCGACATGCGCGCGCGAAGCCCGTTTAATAGCACTGTGTGAGAATATTGAAAAAACCTATGACTTTCGTAAGATTTCGCCAGAGCTCACGCGGAAGCTTTTTTAGCAAATCAGTGTTGCGAAACTCTGTGTTGTTGTATGTTCTTTGGGAACTCGATTGCGAAATCCTTCCGGCACAGAAGGTTTTTGAAGAATTTCGGCATGTGCGCGCGCTGACGCGCGCTTGTGCACGTCGTCTCATTTTTTGCAAGGGATTCGTGAACAAGTGTTATGTTAAAACAAAACATGTCACCGCATAGTGTTTTTTTACAAGGGCCCCTCAGGGGGGGGGAACCCGCCCCCGGGAATAATGTAAATTCATATTTAGGATGGACAGATGGTCAGAATCATACATGATATACATACCCGAAAAGGGGGAGTGATAACGCCGGGGGGGGAGGGGTAATCCTTTTCTGTTTTGAAAAAGAAGAATAAATCGGGGGCGGGAGAAACGTGCAACTCTCGTGCCCCTTTCGGGGCCTCCAGGGGCCCCTTTGGGGCCCACTTGAGCAACACAAGAGGTACACCCATCTTCACGCCCGCATTGATCGCACCCCATCGACCCCCGAATGGGTCGGGGATCTTCTGACCCAGGTCAATCCAAACCCGGGTCAGCCAGGCCTTGCAAAATCCTGCAAGATCCTGCCAAATCCTGCACCCAGACCCGGGTCAGTGCGAAGGATCCTGCGGGGTCCTGCAGGATCCTGCCCCGAACCCGGGTCAATGCGACCCTGGCCCTGCAGGATCCTGCAAGGTCGGACGTTCTGGCTGACCTCCGTTTGCATTGAGCCCCGTCTTATGGCTCCCGGATGGGAATTGCACCACCACCACCACCGGCCCACCGCAGGGGGCCCATCCGGGGCACCAGACCCCGGCGGGCTGTGGCCCCCGCGGGGCGCGCCGACGAGGACTGGGCCCCGGCCCCGCGCCTGCCCCCATGGGGGCGGGCGGTGCGCTGCCGACGCTTCCCGTTTCCCCGGGAGGACGGGAGGTGGTCTGCCAAAGGTGTCCTCGCTCCTCCTCCTCCTCCTCCTCCTCCTCCTCCTCCTCCTCCTCGTCCTCCTCCTCCTCCTCATCCTCCTCCTCTTCTTCCTCCTCCTCCTCCTCCTCCTCCTCCTCCTTCTCCTCCTTCGTGCCCTCGTTCTTCCCCCTCCTCGTCATCACCGTCATCATCACCATCACCACCAGCATCAAGATCGCAACCACCCATCGAAATCATCATCATCAACAACACCATCATCATCACCATCCGCATCATAATCATCAGCCGCAACATCAACATCATCAGCATCACCAACATCAGCACCATCAGAATCACCACCAGCATCATTATCAGCATCACCATCACCTATCTCATCGTCACCATCGGCATCAGCATCGTCGCCATCAACATCAGCATATTCATCAGCATCATTTGCGGCATCATCATCGATCCCATTCTTTATGCGCCACCGTGCCTCCAGGCACGCTGCGGCGTGGAAACAAAACCAAGGTATGTCTGGTAATGGTTGCTGAATTCAAATAAGGGGCCGCCCTTTCCGCTACCAGTAGAGCAGGCTCCTGCGTGCATCCCCCCTACTCACCGAGGCAACTTCCCTCGAGCCAGCTCAAAAATGCGGCATTTCCAGCATGGCAGCAAATGCCTAGGCCCTCATTCCATGTGTATTCGCCCGAGGATGGCGAACTTCCCGCATGACAGCTAAGCCCTGAAACCCCTTTTGTTTCCACGCTCTTCCGCTCGAGGATGGTGTATTTCCCGCACGGCAGCTCATGCCTGGAGCCCCCTTTTTTTCACGCGTGGCCGCTTGAGGACGGCGCACTTCCCGCATGGCAACTCATTCCCAGACCCATCATTCCATGCGAGCCCGCTCGAGTCGCTCAAGGAAACGCACCTCCCGCATCGGTTCTCCTTCTTACTAGAAGAATGGACTCCCCCCCACGCCCGGAGTTAACGGGCCCCCTTTTCGAATTACAAAGTACATATGATTCCACCCAATCGTCCATCCTGAACACGAACTCACACTAGCCCAGCCAAACCGGTATCGCTCCCTCCCGCTATCATTTGCAAACAAACTACGCGAGCACGCTCGTTCATCACAAATCATATGATTCCAAACATTCCTTACAACAGAACACCACAAAGTCATCGCGCGCGCGTCCATGTCAAATTCGTACCGCGCACACTGCGTTCGCAAGCGTTTAACATGAAAGCCGAAGGGCTCTGCAACGACAAAATACAAATTCTTCTCCGCGCGTTCGTACTAGAATCATGCAAAAACCAGAGAAAGCTGATGAACTCTGCCAAGCCCAGCGATTTCATGTCACCGCGCTGTGCACCCGCGATACTCCTGTCATGCGCCGAGGGCGCGAATCCTTTGCCAAGAAAAAACACGCGGGCCTCATGCGCGCACCGCCGCGCGCGCATGCTCAGTCTGACGGAGTTATTGAATTGCCGCGCGCGCGGATTTCCTTTTTTTCAACCTTGTCAGCATCACCGCGATCACCTGCCTCATCGGCAGATGGAAATCAGCATCGTCAGAGTGCTTGCCATCATTGGCGCCGTTATCGTTCGTGCCGTCACCCTCTGGAACATCGTCGTCGCTGGTGCCATCTTCGTTATTGTCGCAAACGTTGCCGACGTCATCTTGCCATCGCGCACGCCCGGGTACCGTCGATATGCTCACGTTCACCATCGACTCAAGGTGACGAGCATCGGCAGGGAGGATGTTATCATCGATGTCGTCATCGGTGGCGCCGCCGTCCCCCGCATCATGAGCTTTGCCAAACAAGTTGCGGGTGGGATGGTGGGATGTTTGCGCGAGCAGTGGACGTGGTCAAGCGCGGTGCAGGGTAGTCAATACGACCTCCTAGACCCCTCATCCCACGCGCACCCGCTCGAGGATCGTGCACGTCCCGCATTCCCAAGCGCTGCTCCCAAGCGCTCCAGGGCTTTCCAAGCCAAGATTCCTCGCGAACAATGGATACGAAGACTGCCCGTGCAGACAGCCAAGGACACCAAGATGGCCCAATATGCCTCGAAGACGGACCAAAATGGCCCGAAGGCCGCCGACTATTTTCAAAACGGCCCTAGATGCCTCCGAGAAGGCCCAAAAGGGCTACAAGAGGACCTCCAACAGGGTCCGAAGAAGCCCAAACCCCTCAGGTGTTTGAATGAGTTGTGCAGTCTTGCCCTTTCGGGCTGCCGCCAGCTTAAGACGGCCCACGAGAACTCCACGATGGCCCAGGAGGCATCCAAGGCGGCCCAAAGAAGGCCCCAAGACGGCCCAAGAGCGACCCAAGACGGCCTTAGACGGCACTTGGACGGCCCAAGACGGCGCCAAGACGGCCCAAATACGGTCCCCAGACACCCACCGTACGGCCAAGAGGGCCCCAAGACGGCCCAAGAGAACCCCAAGCCGGCGTAAGAGGGCTCCACGGCTCCTGGGAACCCTGGGTGGCTCCCTGGAGAGCCTGGACCTTGCGAGGGCCCTCTGGGCATCTGGGCAGCTCCCTCTGGGCCCCAGCGGCCCTCCCTCTGGCCCTTTTGGCCCTCTTGGAGATCCTAAGAGGCGCTGTGGGCCAGGGGCGCCTCTGGCAACGCCCAGCCCGGAGGGGGGATGCAAACCCAGATCAATGAACTTCGCGCGCTGTGCTGCGCGAAGCGCAGCCGTCTGCCCGCACTCGCGCTGCTCCCCTGGAGGGGGGGAGGCGGGGCGAGGAGGGGGAGGGGGGTTTCCCGCGAGGATGGGTCATATCTATTTGAAGGCGCTCTAGGGGGTCCTGAGGGCTGTGGGGTCCTCTGGAGGAGGAGAAGCAGCACGGGGGGAGAAGAAGGACGGGGAAGAGGAAAGAGGGAGGAGGGGTGAGTAAGGGAGGAGGAGGGAGGAGGGAGGAGGGAGGAGGGAGGAGGGAGGAGGGAGGAGGAGGAGGAGGAGGACGAGGAGGAGGACGAGAATAGGGAGGAGAAGGAGGAGGAGGAGGAGGAGGAGGAGGATAGGGAGGAGGAGGATATGGAAGAGGAGGATATGGAGGAGGATAGGGAGGAGAAGCAGGAGGAGGAGGAGGAGGAGGAGGAGGAGGAGGAGGGAGTAGGAGGGAGGAGGAGAGAGGGAGAAAGTTCTTGTTGTGTGCCAGTGCACTCCCCTGGCGGAGCCCTCCACCGCTCCGCTCCTCATGAACGCCCGCGTACGGCTGCAGGAAGGAGACGTCTAGACAGACCACGAAGGGCTCACTTTCACGAACTCGCCATCCCGTGGACACGTTGCTCGAGCCAGGGCGGCCAGCAGCAAGTGCGGACGAGCATGCCGGAACGCCTGCACCAAAAAGCCTCGGAGTCGGACACATCAGCATCATCGAGACCCACAGAACAATCGTCGCAAGTGTGGCCCTCAAACTCCGCGATGAGCGCCGCATCGACAAGCAGGAACCCATGGACCGCGGTGCATGGACACCGTATACCATCAGTCAGAGCGGCGACACCAAGCGACGCGTCAACAGTGAAGCAGACGTTGATATAGCCCAGGTCGTCAGACGACTCACTAAGGTACTAAAATCTTCCTCTCCAGAGCAGCCCAAGGAATTGCGATTGCAATCTGCGTCGCCAAGGTCCCACTCTTCCCTCCTCCTCGCTCGCAGCGCTTCGCTTCCTCAACGACAAGGGGCTCGGATAGGACGGGAGGGCTATGATCCCATAGTGGCTCTCAGAGGCCCTGAAGCAGACACAAGGGGGGCAAAATCAGCAGGACGCTCGGCGGACGGGAAAGCACCTCCACCAGAATCGCCATCAACGACAGGCGGCGGCCGCAGCGGCACCTCGATGACGACGCACTTGGGGACTATGGCGTGCGGCACCTTCGCCTCCAGCACCGCCTCCAGCATCGCCCCAACCTCCATCGGGAGCGGGGGGCAATGCCAGCGCAGCCCCGCCAGGAGGGCACAGCCAGGAAAAGACGCCATGCTGCCATGCTCCGCGGCACCTGACACGTGGGCTCCACGCGCACCGTCTCTGAGCCCACCTGCTGCCAGCTCCCCCGCCTCCGCCCGCAGCGGCCGAGCAATGACGCCCAGCCGGGGCCCCGCAGCCGCAGCAGAGCTCTCCACGCCCGGCGCCGACGCGAAGCCCTGCGGCGGGGCCACCGCGGCGTGCCGGGCCGCATGACGGCGACGCCGAGCGCGCCCAGGAACGCGAAGGCCGGCAGCAGCACCGCGGAGGGCCAGACGTAGGAGGGCACCAACTATACACCAACACCGATCCTGGCCAGGATCCCCCTGGGCCCAGGATCAGTGTACACGCCCTCCTGCCTGGGGCAAGAAGGCATATACACCGATCCTGGGCCCCGGAGTGGCCTGGCCAAGATCGGTGTTGGTCTATAGTTGCTGCCCTCCGAGGACGGGAGGCCAGCTCCCGCTTCTGCCAGCTGCCAGTGCCGCCGCCAGCCGCAGGCGCGCGCATGCCCGCCTCGCAGGCTGCCTGCCGACGGCGGCGAGCGGCGCGGCGTGCGGCAGCGGGACCGAGGGCGCACAGCTCAGACGCCCGCTTCGAGCTGGGCAGCCACGCGGGTGGGCCGCCCCCCGTAGCCACGCCGTCTGCCCACCACGCCGCCAGCACCCGGGAATGGCTGAGGCGCGAAAGCGGGGAGCAACAGCTGGGGCCAAAATGGCGATGGAAGGAGCGAGAGAGGAGGAGGAGGAGGAGGAGGAGGAGGAGGAGGAGGAGGAGGAGGAGGAGGAGGAGGAGGAGGAGGAGGAGGAGGAGGAGGAGGAGGAGGAGGAGGAGAGGAGTAGGAGGAGGAGGAGGAGGAGGAGGAGGAGGAGGAGGAGGAGGGGGGGGGGAGGACGAGGGGGGGGAAGGAGACGGAGGAGGGTGGAGGAGCGAGGGAGGAGGGGAGAGGAAAGGGGACAGGAAGGAGGGAGGAGGGGGGAAGAGGGAAGGGAGCAGGGAAAAGGGAGGGATTCGGCGGTGGCCAAACCTCCCTTTAGTAACCCTCCCCTTAGTGAAAACGGCCTGGGACCGACACCGACGGACCTGGACCCGCAAAAGTGACGGCCGCGACACCCTCTCACGAACCGCAAACGGCCAATTCCTCAATCGACGTGTCAGGGTAATTAGGAGGTCTGTCCACCTCCGAGGGATGGAGAGGGGAGGGAGAGCGAGGAGGAGGATGAGGAGGCACAAGTCCATACTGCACAGAAGGCGCGGAGGCAGCGGGCGTTGGAAGAGGATTCCATTTTGGGAACTCTCCCACGGGCATGCCACGCGTCAGCCTGGCTGCAGTCTTGAGTTCAGTTGCACGAATTGGAGAAAACATTTGCCACACAGCCCGTGCCCAGCCAGATGAGGCTTGCGCCCCTGAACAACGTTCTGCGTGTTGGAAGATGCCGCGGGCTGCCGCAGGGCTCCCTCGAAGCCTCGAAGTCTGCGCCGACATCCCAATGCCCACAAGCTTCGGAAGAGGAGGAGCAGCAGCAGCAGCAGCAGAAGCAGGATAATCCCAATAAGAAACTACCCTTGCAGGTTCCGATGTGGAACTCAATGGAAGGAGTGCTTTCCTGTCGCGGGCACGGGCTGTAGTTGGGCGGGGCTTACATGCTGCACCCGCGGACCTGAGCGTCGGGCGTGCATCAGGATCCCTCTCCCACCCCACCGGACCACCACCTCCACAACCGAGACCTGTGGCGACTCAAAACATAGATGTCAGAACCTCGTCGCCGACTTCTGCCACCAGGTGCCGTTCCGGGATCCCCTGGGGCCAATTCAAAAACACCTCAGGATGCAGAAGCGGTCCCCAGAGAGGGGTGAATGGCTCCAGGCCCGTTTACTCGAACAGATTGTGTCGTCCGAGGTATGGGATCGGTGGCGTGTTGTCCATATATTGCCGGTCCCGGGGAGGAGAGCCAGTAAAAAACTGCGGGCTACTACAAATTACAAGGCGGCGTCACGCGAGAGCACAACGGCTGTCGGGTGTCGTCACGGGTCCTGGCGGCAGAGGGTCGAAAGGCCCCTGCCACCCGGGAAGGAGGGGGGTGAGGAGGAGGAGGAGGAGGAGGAGGAGGAGGAGGAGGAGGAGGAGGAGGAGAGAGGAGGAGGAGGAGGAGGAGGAGGAGGAGTGAACGTGGCCTCTGGGGGCGGTTCGGGACTTCTCCGCCGCGGGCAGCACTCGCAGCGCTGCCGATCCGAGCGCAACCGCTCGATCGCTCTCCCCGCCCCGCACCACTGTTGATGACGGGTGGCGAGTGCGTTCGGGCGGCTGCGCGCACGGCATTGAGGAGGAGGAGGAGGAGGGGGAGGAGGAGGAGGAGGAGGAGGAGGAGGAGGAGGAGGAGGAGGAGGAGGAGGAGGAGGAGGAGGAGTGAACGTGGCCTCTGGGGGCGGTTCGGGGCTTCTCAGCCGCGGGCAGCACTCGCAGCGCTGCCGATCCGAGCGCAACCGCTCGATCGCTCTCCCCGCCCCGCACCACTGTTGATGACGGGTGGCGAGTGCGTTCGGGCGGCTGCGCGCACGGCATTGAGGAGGAGGAGGGGGAGGGGGAGGAGGAGGAGGAGGAGGAGGAGACGACGTAACCAAGAAGGTCCGTCCGACCGCCAACCTCGACCTCGGTCGACGCGAACGCATCGACAGAGGGAGAGCGGGTCCCAGCTGGGTGGCGCTTGGGTTCATTTTCGGCCTCCCGAAGGGCGTCGCAACCCGTTGCCACTTCCGCCACCAGGAGGGCCCGCGCAAAAAATGGCGCTCGCAGCAGACCAGATGTGAGGAGATTCGCCTCGCGAACGAGGGCAAAAAAGAGGGTGGAAGGACAGAGCCTGTCATTGCATGACAGGCCCCACCCCCCTAAAGAATGAGCCGAGAGGCGCAGGGCACTGCGGGAGAGTCATCGACCGCAACATGCCAACGCCTCTGGTGCCTCTGTCAATCCCACATCCAACCCATGCCCGTCCTGCCCCAGCCCCTCCGAGAGATTGAGAGTGCACGCGGCGCTGTGCGAGAGAGCCCTCGATCGCACAGCAAGCTAGGTTATGAATGTGACCCCCACCCCTGATATTCACACCGGCCCAACACGAATAAAGAAGAGGGCACGTGCTTATCTTTCGAGTGCCAACTCTGCGGCACCTCGAATGTCGGTGGCCTGCTGCAATGTCATAGTTTGCGCCCTCGGCGCTTTATGGTACATCTGGAAGGCAAGTGCTGTCGCCTTAAGGCACTCGGCTCGACTGAGCTCGGCGCCTTCGATCTGATAATCGCTCTCTTCCCCGAGGCCTAGGAGAGTGAGCGGGCTGGCTGGAAAGTGCCTGCGTGCCCATGCTGGGTGGCAGGCGCAATGATAATATAATCTTGGGCAGTTCAAATAGTGCGATATCGCATCTGGGGCAGTGCACCCCCAGACGCAGCTGGTTGGGGGGTGCCCGATATGGAGTCTGTGGGTGGTCGTCCACGCGCCACACAGCGTTTTGAAAATGCTCCACTGCCAGGACGGCTTGAGGGTCGCAAGGCAAGTTTTGCATGCAGCCCACCTCCCAACGACCGACCTCAGCCCCCCAGGAATCTCCACTTGCCAAGCGAGCAGCCTCTTGCCAAGAGTGGTGTGAAAGGAATCGGGAAAGGCAAATGGGCGGAGCGTGCGTGCAAATATCCTCTGCGGATGAGGGCGAAGGGCTTCCTGTTCCGCACGTGCGGTGTGCTCGCGCGCTGCTCGAAATGCATCTCGCCACCCAGCAGCATTAGGGAAGCGAGGAGGCGGCAACCTTGAACGTTCTAGAAATTGGGCGATTGAAAATGGTCGCCGCCAGCACGGTGCCGAGAACTTTCCTGCAATAATGCGAACGATGGTAGCATTGTCCTGCGCATGCTGCTTCAGGCTAGACAACGCTCTCTGCCAAACATGATTCAGTGTGCGAAATGATGTACGCCATGCACTAGCCCAGCCAAGCAGCTGGACAGAGGACGGGGCAATGGCTAAAAACGATGGGAGGGCATTCAGATCGGCGAGGCTGAGGCTGTTCGGCGGGAGCCTGAGCAGCTTGTGCAATGCCTGATGCTCTAGCTTACGAATCATGGCGGGGATCGGAAAGAGCTGGGCAAGATACGACAGGGTCGAGAGGGCAGTCGTGTTGTACAACATTGACAGAACAGACGGCGCAGCCCCTGAGTGTGGTAGCGCAACTGTACGCGTCCACCATTTCTCCGCTGCTGGGGACCAAATCATACTGAGAATTGCCTCGGGACCCATTTCGACCCCAAGATAAGTCGTGTGGCCAGCGATTTTAAAGTTGGCCCATTCAGGAATCAACCGACGGAGCTCACTTCGGACCGCGTCCTGGATTTCAGGCGTGCATTCGGTCCAAAGGGGGACCAGGACGCATTTGGCTCCTTGAAGCCTGAGGCACGCAAAACGCTCGACGTCCCGAAAAACTTTGGCCACAGGGACCAGGTCCTGAAGGCGAGGCATCACCATCCCCACGTCGTCCGCACACCCGCCCAAAGAGCCCTTGTGGTGCCTCGCCCTCGGGAGCTGCGTGGCAGCATGAAGGCATCTAAGGATCGGATCCATTGCCAATGCCCATAGCGAGCCAGACAAGGGGCAGCCCTGGAGAACTCCAGAGCAAAGATGAAATAAAAAGACGATCTGATTTTGGATCCGAGCGAAGCCTCTAGGGAGGAAGTAGAGGGCACGAATGAAGTGGAGGAAGCCAGTCGGGAGCCCAGCCCTACTCAGAATCTCGAACAGCCACTGATGGCCGAGGGACGGGAAGGCCGCCTCCACATCGTAGGCGGCGAAGATCGGAAGGTCCTGGGCAGCCTCTGGGTTGATGCTCGCCTTTCGGGCCTCGGCATCCAGCGTGACGATATTCGACAGGAAGTTACGGCCTGGGATGAAACCTTGTTGGGACTCATGGGCGCTCTGTTGGGCAACCTGACGGATCTGAAAGTTAGCAGCAGATGCCATTATCTTTGTGTCCGTGTTCCTGAGGCTAAGAGGACGGACCTTTGCAGGTGACCGTATACATCCTTGGGCATCTTCGGGCTCCGAACCTTTAGGGAGAAACGCGAAGAGGCTGTCGTTGAGCTCCATGGGGACTGCGTGGCCTCCAAACAGATAAGTCATGAGATTGTGTAGCACTGTTAGTTGTTCTGGGCGAGCTTTCCATGCTGTGTACGAAAGCTGGTCGGGTCCAGGGGCCGAACGTCGAGCACATCTGAGAGCACGTCCTAAATCACCTTCTGTTGGAAGTCTAAGAGGTAGAAGGGGACGCGGTGGGGCAACTCGATCAAGATACTCCTGAAGGGGCTCCTCCTGGACTAGTTTCGCACCGAAGATGGGCTTCCAGTGGGAGGTCAGGGCGATGGCGATCTTTTCGGGGTCACGGGCGACTGGTGAGTGCTGAAGGCTCTCGGGTTTTATCCCCGCAAGAACGAGACGACGGGTCTTGGGGGCCCACAATGACGCTCGTCGCTTATGCATCCGTGCCGCTCGTCTCTCATCCTCGATCACCGCTCCGTCCCCCTTGGATGCCCTGCTTTCGGCAAGCCTGGCCTCCCTCATCTGGTAGTCGTAGTTGATGGCACGCATCAAGGCGCCGAACTCCTGCCGCTCGCCGAGCTCGACGCAGCCGTTGGAGACGGTCAGGAAGCGCTCGCCGTCGGCCGTGGTGGCCATCAGCTTGTAGGCGGTGCCAACATCGTTGCGCCAGACACATCGTGAGATAGCTCGGAGCGTGATAAGGCGCCCCCCCTTGGCACGAGGGTCCTTGGCGGAAATCGGCATGCGCTGCAACTCATTGCGGACTTGGCGTGCCGCCTCAGACATGAAGTCCTTCATGCATCTCCACTGGTAGACCGCAGGAAATCGATGTAGTTGTGCAGCATCGAGAAGCTGACCGAGAATTTCACCATAGCGCGGATCTCGAAGGACGTGCTCTGGTATGCCTGTCTGTTCACTCTGGCGGGCTCGATCCCTAAGATGCAGGGTGATCGGCGTGTGGTCGCTGAGCCTGGAGTCCGAGATGGCGGCAGCATCAATATCCACCTCCGCGATCACCTCAACGTCGAGCAGGTAGTACGCTGGGGTGGCAATGAAGAACCTATCCAGTGTAGCCGCCGTGGACGTATCTCTGCAGTAATGTGTAGGGCAGTCCGTGGAGATCTCCGTAACCATCGCAAAGAGTCTTTCCCAGAACGCTTGCAAAGGTTGAGTGCCCCGAGCCGTCTCAGCAGGCAGCGTTCCTGGCGAGAATGTCTGAGAAACAGGATCGGTGTAGCTACGTGTAGGACCTGACTTGACATTGAAATCTCCAGCAGCCACAAACGCTCTAGTAACAGGGTTCTCAATATTCCATTGAACCATGTCCTTCCATGTGTGCGCAATCTTGGTCTGGGCAATGATGTCCAACTCGAAGTTGTGTACGTTCATGATCTTCATCGTGAAGTTGTCGGCGGCGTTGTGTATTGTGAGAAGGGCCACCCTTCCCGCGGCCAATATCTGATGGTCAAAGAACACCTGAGGGTCCTCCTGGTCACGATCTGCCATTGGCACCAAGAATGCTGTGCCTCCCGCCTTCTGCGAGAGGTGATTGTAGAAGATCTTGTAAGGGTATGGATACGTAGCGAGGGCCGCCTGCAATTTAGGTAGTGTTCCACGGCATTCCTGCAATAAGATAACCGCTTTCTTACGCATGAACGAGACAAGTTTGTTCATCTTGGCTTTGCGGCGCCTTGGACGATAGCAAATCAAACTCCTGGCATTCCACGATATGATGGTACCATTGCGCATTGACGGTGATGTTGACCAGGGTGACCACCTTCTGCTAAATAGACCACGAAGATGTGTCCACGCTCGCGAATGCCTGTCCAAATGCAGCCACCAGAGGTTGTTTGTCAATCTTGAATCGTGCGAGGATTGGCATGTCCCAGCGTAGCTTGGATGGTTCATCAGGGCCCTTGACTTCGACAACGACGAGCGGCACTGCATCAATGGTGACAATGCCCTTGCTTCTCTGGGCGCCGATGTGGTGATCGTGGTATGCGTCCTGAATGATGCGCTGCAAACGCTTGGTCTGAAGTTCGAGTCTGACCTGCTTGGGGCTCTTGTCTCCGCTGACATAGATGGGCGTGTTGACCCCACCGGTGTCAAACCCGCTGAGGAGGAGGAGGAGGAGGAGGAGGAGGAGGAGGAGGAGGAGGAGGAGGAGGAGGAGGAGGAGGAGGAGGAGGAGGAGGAGAAAGGGCGCATGGAGGAGGTTGGGGCGAGCAAAAAACAGTGGGCTGCAAATTACGAGGCGGCGTCACGCGAGAGTAGCACGTCGGGTGTCGGCGACGGCCATGCCAGCGGACCCAGCCATCAGGGAACTTGACGGCAGGGGCAGCCAATACTACAGGGGTGCTGAAGCTCGGAGCCCTCTTCTTCCCTGCCCGTCTTCCCCCCTTGTCCCTCCCGCTCCCCGAGGGGGCCGAACCTCGCTGTGCGCGTAGCTCTGCGGTGATGGCTGCCCCAGTAAGGCTCCAGCTTGGGCAGAGGCAGCACCCCCCGGCCGTCCCGGCTGGCCTCAACAGGCCCTGCGAGTAGCGCACAGTCCAGGGCGGTCGCGATACGCCAATCGTGTCGGGCGAAAGGGGTGGATAGCAGAGGGAGGGTTTGAGAGTGAGCTCACGTAGCTGATGTTCCCAGCGCCTCCCGGCGCCGGAGGCGGCTATGTATCGAGGAATGGGCCCCTCGGTGAGGCCGAAACCAGCCGCATGCAGCAAATGTCGCAACCCCCCCCCCCTTCCCAATCCCTCCCTTGCGTCCGGCCCGAGCCAACCCTGGGGCGCGGAGGGCCCCACTGCAGGGGCTCCGCACGAGGCGGCGCCAAGGTGCTGAGCCCGCCAGACAGAGGCCAGCCGGGACTGCCTGTGGGGGTGGGGGGCTGTCCGTGCGCAGCCCCAAAGCCCTGCCCGCGCAGTCTGGCGCTCACTGCTCGCGAGCGGCGGCTCCGGCCCGGAACGCCCGGCGCATGCCGCAGAGGAATGCGGGCAACGCGCACTTCGAGTGCCCCCCCGCGTTGAGGGTCGCGACCCGCTCGTCCAGGTCCCGGACGGCGGGGCTGCAGCCGAAGGCGCTGTACTCGAAGGACCCATCGAGCCCCAGGGAGAAGGAAAACCTGGGCTTCGGCGCAAGACAAAGCCACGACGTGCGGCTATTTGTCATTTGCAGCCTCTGGGGGCCCTCGCCGGGCCCCGAGACCTTCCACGGACGGCCCAGGGTGAGAAGCCGGTCACGGGGAAGGGGTCCAGACCTCCGGGGGTCCGCTCAATGACAAGATCACGACATCGGGGGTCGTCGCCGTCGTCCGTCGTCCGTTGTCGCCATTCGTCCGTGCTTCACGTCCTCCTGCTCCTACTCCTGCTCCGGAGAGAACTCGCGCAGGGGCTCGGAGGGGTCGACGAGCGTGAAGACCATGCGCACCGTCTGCGGCGCCAGCCTCTCGCAGCGGAGCCCGAGCCGCTCACTGTAGAGGCCGAGGAGGGCATCCACCTCCGTGGCCACAAAACGCTTCCCAGAGGCCTTCGCTCGGCAGTGGCACAGAAACGCACTCAGGACCCAGGAGGATAAAGAGGAGGAGGAGGAGGAGGAGGAGGAGGAGGAGGAGGAGGAGGAGGAGGATCGACGTCGTTTTGCTGTACCGCTTGTCCTTTGATCCCGCTTGCTTTCCGTTTGCTCCCGCTCATTGGCCCTCCCTGGGGCCCCCGGTGGCTTCCGAGTCGAGGACCCCTGGCGACCTCAGGGGGCGGAGGGGGAGGCCAGGCGAACCCCCATGGGCTCGGTGGCGAGAAGCGTGCGCGTGTCCGGCGTGCGCGCGCTCCTTTCCGGGCACCAGGCGGCTCCTCTCCAGGCTTACGTCGGGCGTGTCCCCCTACAGGGGGATTTTGAGCGAAAAATGAAAAGTACTCAAAACATACTCCATAATTGTCAAAAAAATGCTCACAAAATAATCTCCATACTATGTTTTGACAATTTTTGAATTTTCTCCCTGTAGAGGGACAAGCCCGACTTAACTCCAGGCATCAGGCGGAACTACCTTTGTCAGACTCGTGCTCCAACAGTGCTCCGCCTCAGGCGGCAAGTTTCCCAGAAGAGCTGCTGGGCTGTGGAGGCGCTGAACTCAAGGGCTGGGGGACGTCAGATGCTGCATGCTGGGGACCGATCGGAGGCCCAGAGAGGGGGGTCAGAGACGCACACTGCTTTGCCAGACTGACCAGACATTGATGGTGAAACAGATACCATATGTCTGATCGCAGCGACAGGACAAGACATGGAGCGTCAGCGTTGCAGTGCAACGTCGAACTGGCATGCTCGCACAAGCTTGACCGACTCACACCAGGAACGTATGCTGAGCGCGAGCTGGATGGTGACATCGAGGACCATCCCCGGTGCAGTAAGAAAGGATGTGATGAAACAGGTTGTTCTGAGTACACAGACAGGGAACGAAAGACAAAGACATGTACCCAGAGCTTGGCCACATGGTTTCGCCAATGCCTTTCAGATGGTGTAAACCCTCTCCCCCCCTCCGCACACACACACACACACCAACACACATGGTATACGCACACACACACACACACACACACCACCACACACACACACACACACACACACACACGCACACGCACACGCACACGCACACGCACACACACACGCACTCTTTGGCCCGCGCGCAACTACTGGGGCTCGACGCTGTCAAGTCTCGCGCGCCACCCTTGCTAGGCCACTCATACACCCGTGGTTGATGAAGCGCATCGCCCCCAGCACAAGTAGACTCGGAATCAACGAACCACGTGAATATGAACTGATATATTTCTCACCCAGGGAGCCTGAAAGATTTGCCGAAGTCGGACAGACCTCGGGTAGAAAGACGGCAACGCAGGTCCTGGGCTCCCACGACGCAGGACTGCAACCAGCACCGCGGACAGGAAGTTGGAGGAAGGTGCATAACGATAGCCCTTGCGTAATCATGTACCCCAAGTCAGCAGCCTGAATACTGAAATGACGACTCACACAAGAATATTAACAACAACCGCATTGCCCGAACCACGCCGCAACTAACTGTTCGATGTGATCGCTGGAACGTTTATCAAACATGCCCCACGAACATGCCCCACGCACCTGGAGCCAAATCGTGACCCATAACAACTCCTGCCAGGAACCCAATGCATGTCAATCTCGACCTCGGTTCCAAACGCATGCCATGCCCGAATCGGGTTCCAAACAGCATAGACGAGCGATCCATCATCTGACTCATGGTGAATCAATTCAATCCAGCCAGGAAATCTCTTGGCTACTTCGACTGATGAATACTCCACAGAAGGTTCACGGCCCTTGAAATACAATGTGAACTCGCATGAAGATTACACAACAATTCTGCAGCCAATGAGTCGTGTGCAACCCGAAAGCACGGCAGAGTGATGCATCCGTTCGTAGAGCCTTAGATGGTTCAAGCCGAACAGGCGCCATACTCACGATTTACATGGTAGCCGCGGCACGCGCGATCCGACATGGGCCCAGACGGATCGCAAAGGCACGGCAGGACCTCAATGATATTAGCGCCAATGGCGGAGCGACAATCCTTTTGCCAAGTGGACAAACCGCTTGCTGGAACATAGATGCTGCCCGCGCCGAAAGTAGTCATCCAGAAGGCGTCCTGACACAGACGTAGGGGGCCCTCCTGGTGCGAGAGCCTGCGTTTACGCAGATACACACGCACACACTTGTTCCTCCAACGGCGAGGTTGCGGCACCGTCGCGAGTACTAAGCCGTACACGCTCGATAAAATTCTACCGAATAAGACATCATACGCGCACCTTTGTCATGCCTCCCCCCCGGCAGGAGGCGGAGAACGTGGAATCGGAAGGGAAGGCAGAGATCGGGGAGGGGGAGGAACAGGTGGAGGAGGACCATGCACGAGGAGGCGGAGGACGTGGAGGAGGGAGGGGACGTGCAGGAGAATGCTAGGACCTTGGTGGAGTGTTGGACCTCGGAGCCGAGACGCCCCTCGCCCCAGCGATCCTGGACCGCAGTCTGCCCCCCACCCCCCCTGCCCTCCTAGGAGAAGAATCAACAGCACAAGCAGGAGCCTTCGGAGTTGCGCGCGGATTGCTCGGACCTGCACCGACCCAAGACTTCCTCGAGGACCTCCGAACATTTACGGGAACGTTTCCTCATCGTGTCGCGGCGGCGGCCCCGGCGACACGCTACATCCTGCGAGCGGATCACGTTTCCCCCCGCTCAGCGGGGCGGGATGCTGGGAAAGGCTCGGGACGCTGACGCTTTGGGAATCGGGAAATGGCCAGCGTTTTTCGCGCCGAGACGCCGTGGGCCAGAACTGGCTTAGCGCGACACGCTGGCCGAAGTTCCCGACGGCATGCTCATGGGGCAACAAAAATCGGGGATGGACAAACCTCCCTTTAGTAAAACGTGGTTTAGTGAAAACGACTTCGGGCCCAAACCTGGCGGGCGCAAGCCTGGAAAATAACGGCCACGGCGCCCTCACGAAAACCGAAAACGGACAATTCACTAATCGACGTGTCACTGTTGGGGGTTCTGTCCACCCCCGCACCTCCCCAGACCTCTCCCAGGGTGCGTTCCAACCAGTATCTCGAGCAACGGTGCCCCGAGATGCGACGCTGCGAACTCACACCCCGAGTCCCAGATCCCGCTCTCCTGCTGCACTTCTCGAGTCCGATCGAGCCGCGACGGTCACGGGGCCCCAACATCGAGCGAGAACGCCGAACGCCCGGTGTGAAAATAACCCCAGCAAAGCATCTTAACAGCACCAAAGGTAAAGGGGGCGGGTCGAGAAGTAGGTCGGCTGTCAAAAAAGTGCATTCCTAGATACTCTGATGAATTCCAAGGCCTCGACGACTCGGGACAGGGGTGATAGCCCGACCAAACATGTAGCCGGCATGGAAGCAAGAGCACGATTCCTGAATAAACTGCGAGGAAGTCTCAGTCGAAACGGCTGCTGGACCGGGCAATCTAGGCAGGGGGGGCCGGGCTGTGACTCTTCTGGGTTTTTTTCTGCCACCATTACAGTCCTCGGGCGAGGCACTAGGATCTCGGGGCATCGTTACCTCCACAGACATGCGACATCCTGACTTTATCAATGCGTGGTCCCCGGACGTCCTGACCCTTTCCCTGGGGCTGGCTTTTCATCTGGAGCTGCTTTCGATGGCCCTGGGGCACACCAAGAGCCCCAAGAGGCCGAAAACAGCGAAAAGACGCCCGTCTTCTGTTAACGGCGCGAGCACGTTTGGGTCCTCGTCCTCGTCTTTGGCGGCACGCACAAGCGGGTAGGGGGACGGGAGAAGACTTCTTACAAGGAGGATGCTTCCTAAATGGTGCCGGCCCTACATCTATAGACGAGGCCCGCGCCGTCTGAGAAGCAGGGGTGCTATCAAAAAGCCATCCCCCCTCCCCCTACGTACCCGCTTGTGCGCGTGGCCGATGCTTGCTTGCTCTTGGGCCACAATGATTATTATTCTTCTTCGGCCTTTGGCCACCTCCCCGACCCCCCTGCCGCGGGCGTCGTTCATTTGAGACAGGATGCCGCTTGCCCAACAGCGACCGCTGTTGGTCTTGGACAAGATTTGCTGTTGGGCACCCTAACCTTATTTTGTGCCCACCTCGGGCGTCCAAATTTCAGAGCTCCGAATCATCAGGTTTGCTGGCAGTCAGGGGTAGCTACAGATTCGCACCTGGGGGGCCCAAATCGGAGTTACCTCAGACCGCAGTTGTCCCAAATCACTCGGGCGTCCAACCATCCCGAATCGTCGGGGCTGTAGGCAGTCAGGGGTCAGCAGGCAGTCAGGGGTAGCCCCAAGGTCCCAGACCAAAATTCCCACGGACTGCAGCTGGCGGGATAATCCGGCCACCGTCCACCCCTCGGGGACCTGCTGACCCGGGTCAATCAATCCAGACCCGGGCCGGTCGGGCTTTGCAGGATCCTGCAAGATCCTGCAGGATCCTGCACCCCACCCCGGGTCAGTACAGCCCTGACCAAGCAGCATCATTCAAGATCTGGCGCCCTGGCTGACCCCGTTTGCATGGACCACGGTCCCTTGAGCCCCGACGGTCCCTCCTCCTCCTCCTCCTCCTCCTCCTCCTCCTCCTCCTCTCCTCCTCCTCCTCCTCCTCCTCCTCCTCCTCCCCCGCCTCCTCCTCCTCCTCCTCCTCCTCCTCTTCCTCCTCCTCCTCTTCCTCCTCCTCCTCCTCCTCCTCCTCCTCATCATCAATTCGTTTTCATTATAATTAACTTCTCCCTGTCGCACCCCGAAACTAGTTTTTAGAGCGGGCTGGGCGCTTCGCCTGAGAATTCCTCACCACTTATGACCCTGCGGCTTCAAAACTGGCAGTAGCTTCGCAAATGGAGGCGGGTCTTCTGAAAATGTGGCTTTCGCCTTAGCTCTGCGCACAATCTGTTTTAGACTTGCAAGTGTTTCACGGATTCTGGGCGGCTCCTCATCGAAATGTGGTTCCCGCCTTAGCGTCGCGCACATTCATTTTCAAACTGTGCAAGAGTTTCACTGATTGAAGGCGGTTCCTTTTTCAAAATATTGTTCCCGCCTTGGCGCCGCACACCTTCGTGTTCAGAATCTGAAAGAGCTACACGAAATCCAATGAGAATAATACCAGAAATTGTGTTTTGAAGGATTCAGGATTATGTGGGTGCACATTCATTCGCGGTGTTGATGTCCCAAGAACGGCATTCTGGCACGATCCAGGATAACAAGACGCAACGGTCAGCTTGATCCGTGGCGGTGGAATCCCGAGAACAATGTTTTGGCATGCTTCAGGGTCTTCAAACGGATGTCTTCAAATGAGGCAGTCCCCACAATGGACATGCACCGTTGTAGGGGCCTGTGAAGATGGAGCGTGGAGGGAGGGTTTCGTCCAACATCGTTGATGACTCTTGAGTTTACACTCGTCCTCCTACTCCTCCGCCTCCTCCTCCTCCTTCTCCTCCTCCTCCTCTTCCTCCTCCTCCTCCTCCGCCTCCTCCTCCTCACCCTCCCACCCAAGGGGCCGATGACGGCCGCGGCCTCGGCGCCTCGCCTCTCCGCGGCGCGGCGGCGGTCGGCCAGCGCCTCCTCCTCGCGCGACAGCCTTTGCCGGCACTCCTCCTGCGGGGTGGGGGGGGCAAAGGGAGGGCTCATTCATCCTCTCGCAGACCTCCTCCGCAGACCTCCCTCCTCATCCCTCCTTTTTTCCGTAGTCTGATGAATTTCCTTACTACTTGTATGATTCTTCCATTCTTCATTAATATCATCAGTAGTGCTACTATGTTCGATCTTCTTATCCTGACTATTATTATTGGTAGTATGTGTATCATTCGTCTTGTTTTTACATGTATAATTCGTCGTCGTCTGTTTATTATGACGATTATTATTTAAAAAAAATTATGTTCCCTCCTCCTCCTCCTCCTCCTCGTCCTCCGCCTCCGCCTCCTCCTCCTACTTCTCCTCCTCCTTCTCCTCCTCCTCTGCCTCCTCCTACTCCATTCCTTTTCCTTCAGAATGATTTCTCCCTGTCGCACCCCGAGGCAAGTTTTTAGCGCGGGCAGGGCGTTTCGCTTTAGACTTCCACACCATTTAAGACTCAGAAGCGTAAAAAATACAGCAGTTTCACAGATAGAGGGCGGGTGGTTCTCAAAATATGGCTCTCGCCTTAGCGCGGCGCACATTCGTTCTAACATTTCGCAAGAGCTTCACGGACTGAGGGCGGGTGGTTTTCAAAATGTGGCTCTCGGCTTAGCGCGGCGCACATTCGTTCTAAAAATTCGCAAACAAACAAGAAACGGATTGAGGGCGGGTGGTTTTCAAAATGTGGCTCTCGCCTTAGCGTTGCGCACATTCGCTGTAAACATGTGCAAGACCTTCACAGATTAAGGGCAATTTCATTTCGAAATGTGGCTCTCGCCTCCGTTCCATGGTTCCCATAATCAACGTACCATCTATTGTGCTTCTGAAGGGTTCCGGAATATGCGGGTGCAACAGTTACGCTGATTTTCTGGATCCCGAGAACGCTGTTTAGAAGGGGTGTTTTCAAACGAGGGAGTTCCATCAATGGAAATGAACCGTCGTAGGGGCCTATGAAGAGGGAGCTTGGAGGGAGGGTTTACTCCAACTTCGTTGATGACTCTTGGGTTTACACTGGTCTTCCTCCTCCTCCTCCTCCTCCTCCGCCTCCGCCTCCGTCTCCGCCTCCGCCTCCTCCTCCTCCTCCTGCCCCTGCTCTCGTCCTCCTCCACCTCCTCCTCCTCCTCCTCGTCCTCCTGCTCCTCCTCCTCCTCCTCCTCCTCCTCCTCCTCCTCCTCCTCCTCCTCCTCTTCACACTCCTCCTCCTCCTGCTCCTCACTCCTCCTCCCTCTACCAGAAAGGGGGGCAAACTTTCAGAGGAAAAGGGGGAGGAGGAACAAGAAAGGGAGGGGGGGCGGGGCTGGAGCGGGAGAGTGTCCCACGTCGTCATCGTCGTCGTCGTCTTCGTCGTCGTTGTCGTCGCCGACATCGTCGTCGGGGTCGCCACCATCATCACCACCATCATCATCATCACAAGCAACATCTTCGTCAGCAATAGCAAGAATATATTCATTATCACCGTCATCATCAGCATCATGATCCATATCATCATCATCATCATCAGCAGCAGCATCATCATCATCGTCATCATCATCATGTTCATCATCATCATCATCATCAGCAGCACCATCACCATTACCATCACCATACCCATTATCATCATCGTCATCGTCATCAGCATCAGCATCACCATCACCATCACAATCATCATCATCATCATCAGCATCATCTCCATCACTACCATAATCAAGATCATCAGGAGCACCACCATGATCATCATCATCACCATCATCATCATCATCATCATCATCATCATCCGCACGACCATCCGTATCATCATCATCATCGTCATCATCATCAATTTCATCATCATCATTATCACCGTCACCATTATGATAGTTACCTTCGGCATCATCATCGCTATCGTCACCATCATCGTCGGCAACATCATCAGCACCATCATCGTCAGCATCCACAGCAGTGCCATCATCCTCACCATATGCATCAGCAACAGCCTCAAGGTGGTCATCCTTGTCGCCACCAGCATCATCATCATCATCATCATCATCATCATCATCATCATCATCATCATCATCACAGGCATCACCATCATCACCATCATCATCGCCGCCGGCCCGCGCTGGTCCTTACAATCATCACTGACATCCGCATAATACTACTAATACGTAGAAGAAAACTCCTCAGCCTCAGCCCCCGGCGTAGACGCCGCGAACGACGGCCAGACCTTCAGGTAGAACAAGCGGGCCTACTTGGAACTAGCAGAAGGAGAACATCAGACTGGGCACATATGAATCACAGCCACACATACCGAAAGCCAAGACGCAAACCAGCCCTACAACCATCACTGCCGATGTAGACACGCCGCCATGTGTGCGTGTGTACGCAAAGGGGCCATCTAATATGTTTAGAGATGCTGGCACCGCTCCAGACAGAAGAACACAGGGTTGGGGTGGCCGGATGGGAAGACAAAAGAAGAAGGTGATCAGGATGTCACCCACGTGCCCACACGCAAAAGCCACCGACACAAGGAAACAGAGACAGAAGAGACCGCCCCTGCTGCAAGGACCTCGGGGCGGCTTTGACGTGCCAGCCTAGGCGGCACGCGGGCTCGGGACGGAACAATAGAAACGCCGGCGGAGCAATACACCGCTAGCCGCCAACACAGACGAACCTCGTAGGATCGCCACTCAGCCCAGAACATCCACCAGGAGACCCAAGACAAAATGGAGACCGTCTACCACGAGAGGCACGACTTCTAGGAACAGGACTACTCAAACCCCTCCCTTACAATCATAAAGTTCATGCCTTCCCCTCCGCCCACACTCGACCCATTATGTGCGGCATCACCCTGAAACGCCCCGATGGAAAGACACAAGAGCAAAACTCAGTGGCGCCAGAGAGGTGGCCGCACCAGCGGTGGCGCAGGGCTCCCACGTGGCGCACTTAGACATGCCGACCCCTTCGGTGCCACCCAAGCACACGACCATGAAGCCCAGAAACAAATTGCGGCATCACGTGGCGAACAACAACAACACAAGCCAACTCTTACGCCTACTTCTGCAATAACCCCCAAAGAGCACGAAACTCCGCACAGCCCGGTTCGGACACCGAGGTTTACCTGAAGGAAGCGTTAGGTCATCTAAAAAAGCACAAGCCACGGCACCCGCCACATTCAGCTCTAACACCGAAGCGCGTTGACGAAACGAGTCGCCCGTCTGCCCCCCAGCGTCCGCAGCTGACACCAACGCCCCAACTGCAGCCGAAACTCACATGGAAAAAGAAGCCGAAGCCCCCAACTGCCTCTGTGGCGTGATGAGGGGGGTATGCACTCCCGCCCCCCCAAACAATCCAAACTGCTTAGGAGCATGGTCGACCCGAGCACAATCAAGAAGACCCAGCCACAGCAGAAGCAGCGGCCATATCCCTCCACTTCAACACAGCTGGGGGCACCCCGAATGGGGGAACGGGTAGTGGTTAGCTGCGTCCACTGCCCTCATCCCCTCAACCTCAGAACGCACACCTCCAGCAAACCCAAGACGCTGGAAATGAGAAGGACGCGTTCTCCGACGAGCAGCCACTAAGAGGTCTGTGCACTTCCTCGTCTTATTGAAGCATCGCCAGCATCCCCATCATCAGCGCCGTCACCATCGCCATCCCCATCATTATCGTCGTCATCATCACCATCATCACCACCATCATCATTGTCGTCGCCGTCATCATCATGACCCATCCTCTCCTTCCCGCCCCCCCCCCCCCCTTCCGCCCCTAGCGAGCTTGGGAGCGCGAGCGGGGGGGGGGGCGGGGATGGGTAGGGGTGGCAGAGGGGGAAGAAGTAGCAGAACGAGGGGTGGGAGAGACAAAGCGAGGAGAGGGGGGGCTGGGGCGGAAGAGTGTCCCAAGTCGTCGCCGTCGTCGCCGTCGTCGTCGCTGTCGTCGCCATAGTCATCATCGTCGTCGTCATCATCGTCGTCATGATCGTCATCATGCACAACATCAGCATCATCATCATCATCATCATCATCATCATCATCATCATCATCATCATCATCATCATCATCATCATACGCATCGTCAGCAGCATCATTACCATCATCATAGCATAATCGTCGACGTCGGCGTCGTCGTTGTCGCCATCGTCACCACCCCCGTCATCTTCAACAGCATCGTCAGCATCAGCATCATCATCATCATCATCATCATCATCATCATCATCATCAGCATCAGCATCAGCATCATCATCATCGTCATCCTCAGCAGCATCACCACCATCACCAGCAGCATCGTCATTACCACCAGTATCATCATCACCATCATCAGCATCACCATCATCGTCATCATCTCATCGTCACCATCAGCATCAACATCATGATCATCGACAGCATGATCATCGGCATCGTTGTCGTCGTCAACTTCTCCCCGAATCACCATCAGCATCGACATCCCAATGATCAGCAACATCATGGTCGCCTTCAACGCCATACTCGTCATCATCGTCGTCGAGTGATCGTCGTGACCATCTCTATCAGCATAGAACTAGCCCATCTGCATCATCATCACTACCAGCATAACCGCCGTCGCCATCACCACGCCATTGTCATGATCAGCATCATCATTATCATCATCATCATCATCAGCATCATCATCACCATCATTAGCATTATCACCATCATCACCATCATCATCATCGTCGTCGTCATCATCAGCACCACCAGCATTAACATCATCGTCATCATCCCTCTTCTGCTTCCCGCCGCTCCCCCGTCACCCCTGGCGGGCTTGGGAGCGCGTGCGGGGGCGGCGGGGAGGGCGGGGGGGGAACAGAGGGGAAAGAAGTATCAGGACGCGGGGCAGAGGAAGGAGAAGAGGTAGTAGTGGTGTGCATGGGGGAGGAAGGAAGAGAAGAGGAGGAGGCAGGCGGGAGGAGGAGGACGAGAGAGGAGGGAGAGAGGGAAAGAGAGGGAGAGAGAGAGAGAGAGAGAGAGAGAGAAAGAAAGAGAGAGAGACAGAGACACAAAGAGTGGAGGGGGACGGGAGGGGCAGTGGAAGGAGGAAGGGAGGCGGGAAATGATTGGGAGAGACAAAGGGAGCATCCAAGCCAATTCCAGAAGGCCGCCCAGGGCCCCGCGAGCGCAATGATAGCCTGAAGCCAGTTTCGAACCCCCGTCCAACAGAAACAAACAAACAGACATACCCACTGTGGGTGTGCATAGCGCTACTTGTCAAAGCTCGGAGGAAAAGGGGAGGAGAAGTGGCATGGAGGAGGATAGGAGCGATAGAGAGGCGAGATGGGGCAGAGTCAAAAGGGGGGGTGGGAAGGGGGAGAGGATGGATGGGAGGAGAGGAGAGGGGGAGCAGTGGAAGGGAAAGGAGGGCCATGGGACGGCGGACTGATCGGTTGTCGACGCGCTGGATGATGAGGAGGAACAGCAGCAGCAGGATGAAGCCGAGCGAGATAGTGATGAGGAGGGGGATGAGGGAGATTAGTGTTAAGTCGGGCGTGTTCCCCTACAGGGGGATTTTCGACGAAAAATAGAACAATGTCAAACAACACAAAAAAAAACAATTACAAACATACAAAATACTCAAAACATAGTCCCCAGACTATTTTTTAACTATGTTTGAAAATTCCCCGTGTACAGGGACAGGCCCGCCGTAAGATGAGTGGCCGGAGCAGAGGCGAGGAGTACAGAGCAGGAGGAGGACGAGCGACCAGGAGAACGGCACAAGCCGCCAGGAGGCTGCCCGGCTGTCTGGTGGGGTGTCGTAAGTATTTGCCTGGGCTGGCCCATCCCCCCCGCCGAGACAGCCCCAGGAAACTCGTCCCCTGGAGCCGGTGTAGGGCTTTCTATCATAGCTTGCTGTCTGGAGAGGCGTGTCCCAGAGATGCCCCCTCCCCGAGGGGGGTGAAAGCAGCCAAGAGCAGGAAGGGCAGCTATAAACTCAAAATCGGCATTCAAAAAAACGAGTAAAGAAAACCGCAGCAACATTAGCACAAACAAAATAACAACCACAAACATCGCCCCAAGATTGTCAAACGGCCTCCGAGGCGATCCGATTGCCCAAGCAGGCCTCCAGACGATCCAAGAAGGCTACAAGATGGCCCAAGATGGTCTCAAGACGGCCGCAAATATTCCCAAGGCGGCCCAAGCGGGCTCCAAGAGAACGCTAAAGAGGCCTTCGAGAGCAAACAAAAACGTCTATCCTTACTTGCTTCTTTCTGACTTCCGAAAGCCCTAGATGGCCCGAAGTGCCGCCAAGAGTGCTCCAGTACAGCCCAACAGGGTCCCAAGAGGGCCCCGAGACAACCCAAGCAGGCTCCAAGACGGTCCAAGAGGGGCTCGAGACAGGTAAAGGGGGCCCAAAAGCCCCAAGAGTGGCCCAAGAGAGGCAAATCGAGCTGGCCTTGACAGCCTTTCTTCGACAGGATTGCCCCTAATGCCCCCTAACAGGCTCCCGAGGCCCCTGAGAGGCTCCCACAGTCCCCCAGGACGCCCCCAAGAGGCCCAAGAGACCCCCAAGAGACCCCCCAGAGGTCCCCATACAGATCACCAACGGCCTCCCAGACGATCCGAAAATGCTCCCGAGAGACCCTCAAGAGGCAACGGAGAGGCTCCAACATGCGTATTGAGCTCAACCTGGTTCACTCTGCGCTGCTGCGCTGGGGCGGTGGCGGGGTTTCCCGCAGGCAGCTGGGTAATGACACGGAACCAAGCTCTCCTCCAAATCCTCGTGCTTGTCCTCGTCCTCCCCCTGCCTTTTCTCGCTCACCCTGCCACTTCCAGACGGAATGATAACGCAAGACGGGGGGACAGGGGAGGGGAGGGAGGGGGGGGGCCGAGGGGGGTGGAGGGCAAGGGGGCCCCTGGGCCTGGCCATCCAGGGAGGATGAGCGCGGGAAGGGGGAGGAGGGGCTGAGAAGGAGGTGGGAGGAGCCTCAGCAGCAGCAGCAGCAGCAGCAGCAGCAGCAGCAGCAGCTGCAGCAGCAGCAGCAGCAGCAGCAGGGGAACGGTGAGGAGGGAGGGCAGGGGGGGGGGGGGACGCGGGGGGGGGGGGCGGACAGGGGGGCAGGGGCGGGTGGGGAGAGTGGAGGAGCCCGCCACACCCCGGCTGGCCCGCCAGACTCCTGAGCCCTGGCGATGACCTCCCTGGTCCGCCGCACGCCGTCCGCCCGCCTGGCGGCCGCCTCAGGGGGAACCAAGCGATACCGATGCCGCCACGGTCAAGGCATTGGACAAGAAATCGTTCGATATGGAATCCAGGGTCTCGAAGCTGCTGGACCACAAATTGAGGATTGGCCCTGTGATGTCCGCGTTCACGGGCTTGTTGGGGTTAGGGGGGCCCGCCAGAACCCCGAGTGATTCTGGAGGGGGCCGTCTGGTTCTGGAGTGATTTCGGCCTCCCCCCAGTGATTCTGGAGTGATTTTCTTCGTTTTCGTTGCGCAGTTCACTGCTATCGAAGTCATCGGTGCAAGCGCGTGCCCTTAGGGGGGGGAACTGCTTGCTCGCTTGTTTGTGATGCGGACCGATTGCGATGGGGCCAGTCGTTCAGTTACCCGATCGCGATCGCTTGCGCGCGCTGCCATCGAGAAAACGATTGGGTCACTTGCCCGCTGGTGGGCGAGCGAACTTCGACGGCACACGAGGGTGTGAAGAGAGTCTCAACATGGTTGAAGGAGGGCTCCAGGAGGGCCACGAGTGCGTTCCAGAGGAACCCCCAAGAAGGCCCCAAGATGGCCCAAACGGGGTCTCGAACAGACCCTATACCCACCCCATTATGGTAAACCGCTTGCTACTAAATGCTCTTAGGACAGTGGTTTGCTTACTTCGGCCGCGAATAGCGGATAGGTTGGCGCGCATACTTGCGTTACTCATTATTCGTATCGGCGTTTGCCCTGCCCTATCGCAGACGGTAGGAGAATGAGCGCGCACGCGCGGGTGAAGTAGGCTTAGGGGGCCAAGGGGCACGCGTTGCGTCACAACATGGATACGTTTGGAAATCAGGCTGTCACCGTACACATGCACTTGGGCCCTCATGGGGCCCTCTTGGACTCTCTTGGCGCCCTCTCGGGGCCCTCTCGGGCCCCTCCAAAACCCCCCTCCGAGGGTCCCAAGAGGGCCCCAAAACGGCTCCAAGAGGGCCCCAAAGCAATATACATAGAAGGCTTTCGTGTATCTTGCTTCGGGGCCCTCTTGGAGCCGTCTTGGGACCCTCTTGGGACCTTCGGGGGGGGGGAGGGGCCCAACGGGGCCTTCTTGGGCCCCTCTAAAACCTCCCCGAGGGTCCCAAGAGGGCCCCAAGACGGCTCCAAGAGGGCCCCAAAGCAAGATACATGGAAGGCTTTCGTGTACGTATCTTGCTTTGGTGCCCTCTTGGAGCCGTCTTGGGGCCCTCCCTCCCCCTCCCGTCGACACAGTTTTCCTCAGGAGGCCCGTCTCCTAAGTGTTAGTTACCCCTGTCGCGGCGCACCCGCCACTCGATTAAAATGCACGGCACGGGAAAACGATCTACGGGGCAGTCGGCTTGTTCTTCGAGCCTAGCTTCGGGAGCCACACGCCGCAGGCGTGCGTGCGGTAGATGTTCCTACGACGCTTGGGCTGGAGCTGCTTAGCAGCCTCACCCTCAGGGTGGGCCCGCTTTCCGCGTGGCCTCGGCGGCGTCAAAACAGGATCAGGCGCAGTCCACAAGTCAACTGGCGAGCGGTGGCCGACGCTCTTGCCGCCGCGGCTCTGGGCGCCGTCGCGGCCCTCGCCATCGTCGCCGCTGACCTGGATGAGATTCGAGGCAGTCATCTTCGTCACATTCGCCAACTGTTCTCTGAGCCTGCGCCTCCTGTCCATCTCGGCACGCTCCCACGGGAAAGGCATCCACAGGTTTTCGCCCTCCCAGAGGTCGGCCTTCTCGAAGCCCGCCCCAACCATGGCTCCGTTGCGGCCCAGAGCCGACCGAAAGGGGGGCCCAAACAAAATCCCGAGGCGACTTGGGCCCCTGGCTGGTTCATCGCAGTCAGATCACTCCAACTCCCGCCTGCCCCTCTCCTCTCCTGCCCCATCCACGCCCTCACCACCCCCCCCTCGCGGGGGCATGGGGGAGGAGCGGGGGGGGAGGATGCAAACCTATCCTGGCGTCCCTGGTCCCAGGTGAGTTGCACGAGGGAGGTTGCATATTCAACGTGAGCACGCCGATCTCAGCTAACGGTACTCGCGCAAGACTCACCCTAGAAAATGCGTCGGCCGACATGGAAGGTATCTGAGAAAACCGTTGCTCCCATTCCTCTAATTCCCTCCCCCCTCCCACGGACAATTGCTTTGTCCCCCCTGCCCAGCGTTCAACCCTCCAAGGCAGCCGTCGCAATAGACGGGAACGCGCTGCTAAAGCTCACTCCTTTGCATTGTGGATCCCTCCCCAGGGCACCGCAATCACCTGAGCTTCAAAACCTGCAACGCACAACTTGGCTGCCTCTAGGGTCACGATGAGGTGACCGACTCCGCCCACTTCGTCAGGGGGCCGCAGGCGCTCTTCCACGTCTTACTCTCCTTGTGCTTCGACAGGCCGGCCTCGATGTAGCGAAAGATCTCCTTCTTCGCCTCCTCGTCGATTGACTCGTCGATCTTTTTCTGGAAGATGGGGATGCTAATGGAGACAGCCTTGGGCGGCTCCTTGTCGCCCTTCTCGCCAATGGCCACGAGTATCGTCGCGAAACCGAACGGGGTGAAGAGGATGTCGCCCTGGTTCAGGACACCTTGCTTGCAGTCGACGTGTCCGAGCACCTCCTTGACGTCCTTGCACGAGGCCAGGTACTGATTGAGAGAGCTGAGCGAAGACATTCCAGACTGGATCAGGTACGAGATGGGCATCAGCTTGAAAAACACTGCGCCTTCAATGACCATCGAGGCACATGCTACGCCTGGGAATACCACGCTGTTGAAGTCCCACACCCACGCGTACGGGTTCAAAGCAACGATGAAGGGGTGCTGGAAGAGGTCCTCGGCGCCCTCGAAAATCTGGAGCTCCGCGGTAATCCCATCGAAATCGAGGCCGCCCGTCTTGTCCAAGGTCATCTGGTACATGGCCGCGTTAGCGCTCATCTTCTTCTTGAGGTTCTCCACCTTCCTGCCCAGCTTCTCGGCGTTCTGGTCCTTCGTCTTGCGGAAGATGTCAACGAACTTGCAGTTCTCGACTTTCTCGTTCGTCCGCAAGGGCTTCGTGACATCGAGCGTCATGCCATCCTTGAACTCGAGCACGCCGTTATCACCCTCTGCGGCCTCGCTGGGGGGGCGGTGTCGCGTCGGTTCGAGGGGCCGGCGTCTAACTCGGCCCTCGCCCCTCGGGGGCCCGCCCGAGGAGAGCTCCTACAGGGCCAGCTCGCACTCAGGATCAAGCAATGTTCGAATCTCTCGCGGGGCTCTGCAAGAGCCCCCCTAAGGCTCCCCCAGGCCCTGGGCCCTCCAGGACAACGCAGCCCCCAGAGGGCCTCCCAAACCGTTTCCAAAAAATTCCCCACCACGTGTTCCTGAAAGCCCCAAGAGGGCCCCACGAGGGCCAGCTCGTACCCGAGATGTTTGAAGCACACTCTGGTCGCGCCTGGGGCCCTCTCGGGGCATTCTCGTGGCCGGCCCGATGCCCCCCCCCCGAAGTCCACGTAGCCAGCCTCCCCTCACCATAGTTGCTTTGCCCGATTGTCCTCAGCGTCGCGCACGCATGCTGCGAACGCCTTCGCGAGGGAGTCCACCATGCGGTGCTGCTCGAAGAGCTTCTGGATCTTGACCAGGGCAGCGTACTTCTTGCGGGAGGCATCGGCAGCGCTTGCCTGGACGTCGTTCTTCATGTGCTGCACGGCTGCCAAGCACTCGTCGAATTCAGCCTGCGCCGACTTGAGTGCATCGATGCTCTTGACCGCCTTTTCCTGGATCTCTGCCAAGTTCATCCTCTGGTTGTACTTCTCGATGCCGTCCCACTCCGACTTGCAGGACTCAATGGCCTTCGTCAGCTTAGACTTCGCTGCCGCATAGTCGATGCTGTCGAGGTCAGATGCGGTCCCTTGGAGTTTGGAGTAGGCCTTGTCGGACTGCGCGAACCTGTCGCCCTTCTTGTAGACGTCCAGAGCATTCAGCCGCTGCTTGAACTGGGCGCTGAACTTCTGCTTCGCACTCAGGAACTTGGAGATCGCCATCTTCCCCGTGAGCTCGACGAACTTCTCGGGCTCCTCGTCCTCCTCCTCCTCCTCACGCTCCTCCTCCTCAGCTGCAGCCGCTGCGCCATCTTCGTCATCGGCATTCTCGCTCTCCCCCAGCTGCGCCGCGCGCGTCCTCCCGCGACCCTTGATCTGCAGCGTCGGTGCGCCAAGCGACGAGCCGTTGGTCCTGGACCTCTTGCTGGTAGATGTCCGATTGCTCAAGCTCCTGCTCCTCAATCGCCGTGGTGCCCTCGCTGGGCTGGGGCTCGGTGCTCTTGGCGACGCGCGGGCCCTCTCCTGCTCTCCAGCCTGGGAGGGGACCAGGAGAGAGCAGACGCGTTGGAAGGGTGGCATCGGGCATGAGGCAGACAAAGGAGAAAGGCGTAGAAAAGGGAAGCAGCACGGGAGGCAAGAGCAGGCGCACGAGCAAAGCATCTTCGCACCCTGAGAACCTTCGAAGCCGCACCGCCTCCCAGGGCCCTCCGCCCCGCGCGCGCCAGAACGCCCTGCTGGAACTTCTCGGCGCCCCTCTCGACCAGGTCGCGGAGAGCCACGGCGCTCGCTGATGACCGAGCCTCGGAGGAGCCGTATTTCTTTACCTTCTGCGTGCTCTTGCTGTGCTCGACACACACGGGCTTGTCGACGGCCACGGTCTTCTGGCCCTTCCTGTTCTTGCGCTTCTCAACGTCGGGGTCATTGATATCCTCGTTCCACTGCTTGGCCGCCTCCTCGTCGGACAGCCCTTCCCTCATCTTGAACCACTGGATGTACGCCCTGTGGTGCAAGAAGATCACCTTCTCCTTAGTGGTAGTGCTGTCCACCGCCACCAGCTCCTCGCAGAAGTCTAGCACTTGAACACGCTGGACCTGTCTCTTCTCGTGCTTGTTCTTCGACAGCATGGCCAGGGCAATCGTCCGAAACTTCTCGGGGTCCGTATTCAGGAGGGCCATCACCCTCGACTTCAGATGGGCGGGCATTCAGGGCGCGCTCCAGCGCTTGGCACGCATTG